GCAGGAAGCCACAATGTCAGAGGAGAAGCCGGGCCACGTTCCTGGAGCTGTCATCCAGGACTGCTAGTGCGCAGAAGAGATTGGCCTGTGGGCGGGGCATGAGGTGCTCATGATGTACTCTTGTGGTGTTGTAGTGTGGTCTTTGTCCCAGCGATCAATGTGAGCCATGGAAGGAGTCTAACATGAGAGTGGATTAGAAGGAAGGTAGACTAGAGACCCGAAGGGAGAGCAAACAGAAGTGCCTTGCTAGAATTGAAGAGTAGAAATAGTGAGGAGTTTTAACCAAAACAAGTGGTGAAGGTAGCTGTGAAGGAGGTCTGGTAGGTAGCATTTCCCACTGGATTGCTGTGGGGAGAAAAGGGAAGTAGATGAGGATGCCATCCACATTTCTGGCTGGCATAGAGAAGAAGGGTCGGTGTGAGGAACAAGGACAGGTGTTAGGGAGACAAGAATTCAGGGTATGCCATGGAGACTTTGAGATTTCCGAGGGCCATACCAATGACTATCTTTCTAACTCTCACCAGGGTCTAGCTGTGTGACATTAGGCAAATGGAATAGCCCGGTGGTGTTTCGGTTGCCTACAGTATAAGGTGGAGACAGATATTGTTGTTGTTGTTAAGTGTTGGCGAGTCGGTTCCGACCCAGAGCGACCCTGTATAGGGTTTCTGAGGAGTAGCTGGTGAGCTTGATCCACCAACCTTGCAGTTCAAACAGACCTTTGCAGTCTGGCTCATTAACCCACAGCGCCACACCAGGACTTCCGAGGGCTATCATAACCTTACATGCAAACTTTTTAGACTAGCACCAAATGTAGAGTAAATGCATATTAGTTAGCATTATCATATGTCTTGCTGGAAGCAAAGAGAGCTTAAAATACTTTCTGATAAAGATTAAAGACTACAGCCTTTGGTATGCATTGCATCTAGATACAAAGAAATGAAATTCCTCACAATAGGACCAGTAAATAACATGATGATTGTTGTTAAATGCTATTGAGTTTAGGGTTTCCGACAAGCAGCTGGTGAATTTGAACCGCCCGGTTTCTAAGCTGTAAATGCTACCTGTGTAGAGAGTTCAGACCCCCCGACTGGACACTACTGTGTCAGTCAGCTTCACAGCTGCACCTTTCTCATCCACTCAGTTTCAGTTTGGTGTACTTCACGTGAAGTTATAAATATCCAGTGTCAGAAATGATGTAAACAAATATTAAATACTGCTACTGGTACTGTTGTTGTTGGTGGTGTGTCATGGAGTCAGTTCCCACTCAGAGTGACCCTACATAGGGTTCCCGAGGCGGTAAATCTTTACAGGAGTAGAAAACTTCATCTTTCTCCTGCTGTAGTCTCTAACTGCTGACCTTCAGGTTAGCAGCCTGACTATGCTGGCATCAAGTAATTCGGTTATTACTAGCAGCATTTTAATCATTTTCTGGAGTCTGTTATGAGGAACTGAGACAATGGCAGCAGAGTGTTAGATAGGTCTTTGTGCTCCTGGTTTTTCTGTGTATTTAAGTAAACAATTTAAAGTTTCTTTACCAGAGGCCTCAATGTTTCATTTCATAATCACATTCAATTTGCCTATTCTGGGGTGAATGGTACTAGTGCCAGCTGCGTCCCATGCACATGAGACGGCACAGATTAAAAGTCAACTCTTGTGATCCACAATCTCAAGTTCTGTACCTAGAGAAGTAAGATCACTTGGAAATAAGAGAAAGCATGTGTACATTAAATAAGCATATGTAAAATTATGTCACCTTTTAAATAATGTAACCGGGTTTTCTAGATCACAGAACTTCATATCACAATACAAAATTTCCCCCCCTTTTGCTGCTTTTTGCAGTTAGGATTTAAGTTCATTTGGCAGGCATGCAGAACCGTTCAGTTAGTGTGCAGGGGTAACACGATTCCTTTTCTCATCTTACACTTCAGAAAACCCTCACTACCATAGGAGCCCTGTAGCTATGGTAGTTGAGTATTGTTAGCACAGCATGGCTGTTCTTAGGTCTGTCTGTAACTCGGTGACGGTGGTCACTTCCCAGGCATCGTCCTGCATCATCCCAGAGTGGGGATAAGAGATGAAAATTCAGGTCTTGCCTTGTCCAAGGCTGGTAAAATGGGAGGTCAAGGTTGACTCTGGAACCTGCGAAGCCAGAGTTGTGGTTTTTTGTCTTTGTGATCTAATTAGATGTGTTAGGTCTGTAATCTGAGACCTCTGCCAGTTATCACAGACATGCATGTTCTTGGGATGAGGAAGAGGACCCAGGGTATGCATGAGTAGTGCGCATATGCGATTGCTGTAAGGAAGGGCTCTGGTTGGAGAGCCACACAGTTTAGCTGTGTTCGTTCCTCATTCACAGTCTTAGTGCTTAGACATAAAATGTCTTTTGTGAGCTGGTGGTGATTTTTATCTGCCTGCACAAATCTTGGCTTCACCACTCCCATTTCTTTTACTACTAGCTATAATCATCTGATTATCAAAGAGTTAATGAACTCCCCGAGTTTTTTTGTGTGACTACAATAAAATTCACAGCTGAATAAATGAAATTCTCAGCAGAATAATAATTTATAGGCAGAAGTAACCTGTTAAATAAAATTAAAATCGTATAATTTTTCTATCGCTACATGAAAATTCTCCATATGTAAATAACATACATCTCTGCATAAGTAAACGTAAAATTTTATAATTTCTACATGTAAATTATTCTTTATAAAATGTTTACCTTTTATTTAATCATAAGTAGGTTTTCTGTTTTTATGCCTCTTAGAAGGAGACACAATAATTAGTTGATAATTTTATATTACTTTAAAATTAGAAAAATCTAATTGTGAACTCTTGTCCTTTTTGCTCCAAATTCTTTCACTGTAAAAAGTGCTGGGGCATTTATCATCTAAAACCCTCATATAAGTATATAAGTAAGCAGCCTTTTAAAAAAATTCAGTCCCATCCACATACCTGTTCCTTTTTGAAACCTCAATTCATGAAGTTTGTGTTTCTAAAATATGAGACAAGTACTTTAAATTTTTCTTTGAATGAAAATCTTAATGCTAATCAGATATCAGATATTCATTTACCTGTCATTATGTGGTCTGGTAGCAAAAAGGATATATATATATATATTTTTTTTTTTCTTTTTTTTTTTTCTCTCAACCTTTAATAGGAATTCAGTATCCTGCATTAAATAGCATGTGGTGAAAACAGCTATCTTGACAAAGCAAAGTTTTTATATCAAGCCTTTAAAATTTCAGCAGAATTTAAACATTATTTAGATAAAGCAATTATTTTACAAAGACGACTTTTAACATGGTCAGACCACCCACAGTGCTAAGTGGAGAATATGGCATGCAGCCACCCAGTGAGACCGACCTAAGACGCAATTTTTTCATCTTTGCTTAAAGTAGAGTCACCAGACCAGATAATGTAGAAACTTTTTACAAGCAGCCATCAAACATCGAAACACAGTTTATCTTTTTTCTCCCTTTTCTTTGTGGCTAATTAAAAATAATTCACAAGGTGAAAAATTTGAACTATTTTTGTACACAGTAAATTTTGCTTTAGATAAAGCAGTTCTTTCATAATACTGATACATACAGTCTGAAGTCTTTTAAGGATAAAAAAATAAAGAACTGTTCGCTTCATCTGTAACTTTATAAATAGAGCTGATTAAAAAATATTTGATGGCATGTTGAAGTTTGAATTTAAATCAATTTAGAAGTTCCGTTTTAATGTTTGAATAAAATTTACATTGCTTCATATGATTTTCTGTGCCTGCTACATGAAATAAAAATTCTACCAAGAAAATAGAAATCATTTTAAAAAGGCCTGTTTTCTAACACTGTTTTGAAAAAATATTTTTTTTCATTTATTACCACATATGAAGGAACCTCAAAAAGTTTGAGGAAAAGTTTCATTATCTTTTAAATTCCATTTTCTACAAAATTTTTGAAGTGCCCTTGCATGTTAATATTGAATCCCTGGAATTTAACACATATAAATTACACTAGTGTAGTATAGTGTGTGTTAATCTGTTGTCTGGATTAATGAAATAACCTAAGGGCCCATAATTGGTATACAGTTTAGAAGAGTAGCTAGTTTTATGTATGTTCACACTGGAGGTTTTATTTAAGTGTGGTAAACATACCATTCTAAACATATGAAAAGACTTAAAATGTGGAAATTATATTTTAGTAAACCATAAAAGATAGCCAACACCCCTAACTGAAAAAAAGTCTATTAACTTTTAATGTAAAACTATAATAGTTTAACACCTTTGTTTCCGGTGCATAGTTATACATTTTCTGATTGAAGTGTCAACCTTTATCCAAGTTTCTTTTTTCCTTTTAAAACAGGAGCGAGTAATACTGCAGACACATTGTTTCAAGAAGTCCTAGGTCGAAAAGACAAGGCAGATTCCACTAGAAATGCACTTAATGTGCTCCAACGATTTAAGTTTCTGTTCAACCTTCCTCTAAATATTGAAAGGAATATTCAAAAGGTAAAGTACGTATTTATGTTCCCCCAATGGTATAGATGTCATAAATTTAAAGATTTGTTCAGAAGTTTGTTATCTTAACAAAATGTCTTTATCCCATTATGCTGTATTGGCAGTCTCTAAACAGTTTCTTTATTTTAAAGGGCGATTATGATGTGGTTATTAATGATTATGAAAAGGCCAAGTCACTTTTTGGGAAAACGGAGGTGCAAGTTTTCAAGAAATGTAAGATTTGTTTATTACTTCTCGATTTTCTACTTTTCCTTTTCCAGGAAGAATATAGAATTATTCTGCAGAGAATGTTGCATGTGTTCTACTTTTTGTTTATATGGTGTTCTCTTTAACGTGTAAAACAATTACTTCAAAAAAGATCTTGGCTTCTCTTCTGAAAAGTCCTGGCACTGAGCTCCCAAAATCACAGCAGCGCGCCGGCCAGTCTCTGCTGCTTGTTCACCATTCAGTTACAAAGTCGGTCTTTGACTGGACAGAATAAATTGCAGATATTTAGTACAGATGGAAACCTCCGGGCCAGTCTTCACTTTTCAGAAAGACATATGTAAGAATCCTAAAGCAAACGAAACAACTTTTGAAATTACCTCTAATGCCAGAGTTGTAGCAAACAGGAAAAGCTGAAATTAAAATCCATAGGGTAAAGCCTCATTAACGAGGAAAAACACCATTGGGCTTTATTAGATTTGTGAATGAAATCCACAAGGCTGCAGGAAACTTCATTTTATTTTTTTATTGTGTTAAAATTTACATGCAGTGAAACGCACAGACCTTACAAGTTACAGGTCAACAAGTTTTGACAAATGCTTACACCCATGTAACCTATACCCTCGCAAGACACAGAACGTTTTCGTCACTTCAGAAAGTTCCCCTTGTGTCCTTTGTTAAGCCTTGCACCCTTTGTAGGCAACTACTGTTCCTTAATTTGATTTTAAGTTCCTAAATCTGGTCTTTTTTTTCCTCTTTTAAAATAGATTATGCTGAAGTAGAAACACGAATTGAAGCTTTAAGAGAGTTACTTCTGGATAAATTGCTAGAGACACCATCAACCTTACATGACCAAAAACGTTACATAAGGTAAACTTTCTACAGTTAGATTGATGGATCTCATATACTGTATTGTACCAGATATACCAACTAACCCATAAAGCTATTTCAGGGCAAACAAGGAGACTGGCTGATGAAGCGGAAATATAAGTGAAAAATAATAGCATGAATTTAGGACACCAAAATTATTTTCCCCAATAATCAATCTGCAGAGAGTTCTGGTATAGTGCTACAGGATTAAATACTGGACTGCAAGGTTGGTTTGAACCACAAGGTTGGCAGTTCAAACTCACCAGCTGCTCCTGGTCACTATGAGTTGGAACCAACTCGACAGCACTTAACAACCACAATTGTATAAGGATCACTTTTTAAGAGTAAGAAAATATTGAAAGAATGGTGAAACATCCCTTCTTTCCGCTGAGCTGTGGCTCCCAGACCTCCTGGTAGTGTGGCTGTATGCCCTGTGCCACCCCCAGATCATAAAAGGGCTTCGTGAGGGTGGGGCACCCTGTGTGTAACCCACTGGGTGGGGGTCAGTTAGCAGGCGTGCTTGGGATTCACTGCAGAGGAAACCCTAGAAGGTTCTAGCTCTGAAAATCTGATTTTCACGTCTTTAGTCATCAGAGAAAGAGAAATAAAGTTACTAAGTGGGAATACTTCAAGACAAAAAGCAGTACTATTAGAAGGGAGGGACCTTCGCAGGAAGCAGACAAGCCCGAACGGGCACTCACTTTCACCTTAGAACCTTAGACCTTTTACTCGACTGACTTCTGTTCTTGAATTTCTTCATCTGTAAAGTGATATCGTTTATAACAGGATTTGGGGGATAATTAAAATAAATCAATTATAAGCTTTTTAAAAAATTTATTTTTAACCTAAGATTTAAAAAAAATATTAACTTTATTTTTTGTTTGAATATTTTAGTGTGACCTTTGTTCTCAGAATAAGCTGGATTTTCCCAATTTAGTGGCTTCCCACTTGCTGCTAAATTGCTTTCCAGTATCGAATCTTCAGTAGTTGTAAAATTTTGGTAGACTGTATTTGTGCTTCTAGTAGGCGAATTTGAACCGCCGACTGACCTTGTGTGTCCCTTCACACCCCTTTGTGGTCTGGTGCTTGTCATCCAGTGCCACAGCAGGACTCCTAAGCTGCCTCCACAGAGAAGCTCATATTTAGGGGATTTTCCTGGCTTGTAGGATAATAGAAATTCAAACCTCGAAACAACTTCATGTTAGTTATCCCACTGCTTTGTTTTACATTAAAGAGACCCCAGAGTGACTAATTCATCTTGTGTAGGATACATAGCTGATGAATGTCATTGGTTCGGATTATTTTTCTTTCTGTTCTGCTATGCTACCTCGCTAATTGTGATTTCTCTTTATTAGTTTATATTAATTATCTTCAGTTTATCTGTGATAATTATTTCATGTACAATTCTTGTATGCAGTGTATCTCTAGAGTTAGCTGCAGTGCGGTTCAGAGAGGAGACTGTCTGCTCCTGTCAAGGTTTACAGTGTCGGAAACGCTGTGGAGGGAAGGCATGAGTCACAATGGTTTCTCTGGCAGTGGTGGTGTTTTTTTCCAATAAGATAATAAGAAACATGTTTTTCATCTAATTTTTGAAACGATACAGTTAACATTCGAAAGCGACAAGTTACTAAGACAACCAGCTCGTGCCTCTCTGTTGCCATAGCATTTGAGAAAGCCCTGTCATGAATGATCTCCTTTAAATTCAGTAATTTAGAAACTTAAACGGAGTAGCTTTCCTAAGAGAACATGACTCTATTTTGCACTATAATTCCAGATCTAAGGGTTATATGTATGAAGTTGTTAGGAAAAAGTGTCGCAGAAGTATTTGAAGACAAATCAAGTCTATGTAATGCAACTGCATAAACAGAGTATTCCTGCAAAAAATAAATAAAATGACATATTCTTTGTAAAGAAAAGACATAATGTTTGTCACATTTCTATTCCAGATAATAAAAGAGGAAAGTGTTGTGTGAGAGGAAGAAATCAGATTGGAATTTGGAAACTTTGAATTCCCTGAGCCTGGCTAAATTTAGTAGATTTTCTCTGCAGGTTTCGGTCCTCATTGTATGCAGGGGAATCATAGGTGTCTTTTTGGTTTGAGTAAAGTTCTTCCTTTTACTTTATTGATCAATTTCTCAGTGCAGAAACATAACCTGTTTGCAAACAGCAGTTGACTGCCTTAGGGAGGAGGACAGGGGCCCATGCTAGGGACTGACCCCGGACAACTGTGTGCAATTTGCAGGGTGGTAAGATGCCATGCTCTTCTCAGATGCCAGACTGCCTCCGTTACCAACTCATGAAAGATTTTCTCTTAAGTATGGCAGCTCTGTAGGAAAAGCACTGAAGTGCAAATCACATGGCCAGTTATGCAGAAGAAACACCAGGCTTACCCTCCACCCCCTCCCCTCCCACCCCCACCCCCCCGCAAAGATTTCCAGCCTCAGAAACCCTGTACAGGATCGTTATGAGTTGGGACCAACTTAATAGCACTTAACAACAGCAACAATGATAATTACAAATTGGATTTGTGCCTCCTGTAATGAGCACTACTTGAAATGCCTGTAGGTGCTGACATTTTCAGTACTGCAGCCCTGCTGAGAAGACAAATCCAGCATCTCCCCAGAGATGAAGATGTGGCTAGTGGGCCTAGCTTGTAATCATTGATTAAACTTTGTCATTAGGCAAGAATCTTTAACTCAGAACAATGGAGAATGTATTCTTTAAGAATAATTTTAAGACAATAAATTTATCCTGACATACTTTTGGAGCTGATTTAATTGCATTTAGCGTGTTATATTTATGTCGTTTCTGAGGACCAAGGGCCAAATCATGACTATTTACAGCTAAGTGTTTTGTCACCAAATCTATTTATATGGAAAGGGGCCATTTCCTTTCAGTTAAGGAACCCTGGTGGCACAGTTAGGGGCTCACTTGTTAACCAGAAGGTCAGTATTTTCAACCTACCAGCTGCTGTGCTGAAGCAAGGTGTGGCAATCTAGGCTCTAAAACTTTGCAGCCTTGGAAACCCTGTGGAGCACTGGGAGTCTGAATGGGCAGCAGTAGCTTTGGTTTTTGGTGGTTTCAGTTGCCTTCTTGCTGGATTAAGGAGTCCTGGTGATGTAGTGGATTGCAGTTTGGGCTGCTATCCACATTGTCCGAGTTTGAATCCACTTGTCTGAGGAGAAGGGTGAGACATTTTGCTCCTGAAAGGACTTACAGCCTCAGGAAGTCTATACAGCTGCAGAACCTACTTGAGGGCACACCACCACTACAGCTGGATTGTCAGAGAAAGCAGTGTCACACTGCCATCTAGTGACCCTATTTTATACATAGAGAAACAGAAGAAGAAAAAGACAAAAGAAGCAAAGAAAAACAGCTGAAATTAACAAACCAACCAGCCAACCCAGGTTTTCCTTGTTTGTTGCTGACTTCCACCTGTCTACTGTTCTTGTTGTTAAATGTTGTCGAGTCTGTTCTGACTCATAGCGACCGTATGTAGAGTTTCTGAGGAGTGGCTGGTGCGTTTGAAGCCTGGACCATGAGGTTAGTAGTCTGGTGCTTATCCTACAACACCACACCAGGACTCATGTTTAATACAGTGACTCCTAAGTGTCAGTTTAAGGAGCTCTGGTAGCGTAGTGGTTACGAATCGGGCTGCTAACCGCAAGGTTGGCAATTCGTAACTATCAGCTGTTCCATGGGAGAAAGATGAGGCTTTCTGCTCCTGTAAAGATTTGCAGCCTTGGAAACCCTGTTCAGGGTCACTATGAGTCGGAACCGACTCCACGGTACTTACCAACAACTGTCAGTTTATTATACTGTGGTGGCTTGGATAGTGCTGTGATGCTGGAAACTATGGTAATGATTTTAAATCCCAGTGGGCTCACCCTGGTGGACAGGTTTCAGTGGCACTTCTAGACTAGGAAGAAGGCGAGACAGACCACTTCTGAATGGTTGTTGTTATTGTTAAGTGTTGTCACATCGGTTCTTACTCATAGTGAGCATGTATAGGGTTTCTGAGGAGTGGCTCGTGAGTGTGAATCACCGACTTGGCGGTTCAAACGGACAGTGCCACAGCAGGACTGAAAACCGTGTGAATAAGCAGCAGAAGTTTGTCTGATACAGTGCCGGGAGATGAGCCACTAACGTTGGAAGGCACTCAGCTTCAGAGTGGGGAAGAGCTAAGAGCTGCCTCCTCAAAGTAGAGTTGGCCTCAGTGATGAGAATATAGCAAAGCTTTCAGGACCTTCATTTGCAGGTGGGCTACAACTAACAATGAGAATAAATAGCTGTAGATGTCTAGTAGTCATCGGCATGTGGAATGTAGGAAGTTAGGAATCCAGGAAAATGGGAAGTTGTCAGAAATGCATAAAGGTATCCTAGGTATTAGTGAACTGAAATCGGCTGATATTAACCATTTTGAATCAGACATTTATATGGTTTATTATACTATAAATGACAAACTGATGAGGAATGGCATCTCATTCTGTATCAAAAAGAGCGTTTCAAGATCTCCCTTGAAATGCAGTGCTGTCTGTAATAGGATAATATCCTTATGCCCACAGTGAAGACCAGCTAATACCATTATTATTCACATTTACCAACCATCCACAAAAGCCAATGATGATGAAATTGAAGCATTCTACCAACTTCCTGAGTCAAACATGCAACTGAGGTGTATTGATAATCACTGGTGATTGGAATGTGAAAGTTGGAAGCAAAGAGGAATTGGAAAACGTGGCCTTGGTGATAGGCTGGAGATTGCATGATAGAATTTTGCAAGACCAACAATTTAGTCATAGCAAACACCTTGTTAAACAACATAAAGGGAGTCACCAGATGGATACACAAGAATCCAACTGACTACGTCTGTGAGAATAAGCCATGAAGCAGCTCAGTGTCATCAGCCAAACGGGGCCAGGTGCCCACTGTGGGAAAGGCACCAACTGTTCAGATGCCAGACAGGCTGAAGCTGAAGGAAGTTAAAATACTAGAGCCAA